GGATCGGAGCGTTGCTTCGTTTGAGGGGGATACGGGGCCTGAGCATTCGTGTGCTAAGATCCGGTGCAGAGAAGCTGTCTCAAGCTCCCGGCTCGCCGTGCTGGATCAGCACTCCAAGGAGGCCGTGCGTGTTTTGCTTCAGATCTGCGCCAGTCTTTTCAAAATACTACTCCACAGTGGCTGATGCCAGTGGAGGTCTGACATGAAGGCAGCTGCACACGGATTCGGGGTGCATGGGGCTGCTGTGCTGGCGTGACAGGGCAGCAGCGTGTGGCTTTGTTCCTGCAGGGAGCCCTCGTTAGCCGAGTGAGCTGGAAGCAGTTCTCCGGAGTACAGATTTGGATGCAGAGCTCTGAGGGTTAGCGCGGCGACATGCCGAGGGAGAAGTTCACTGCAGTGGCTCGCGTGTGAGTGGAGAGGTGTATGCAGAGTGCTCAGGCAGGAATCATCTGTGGGTGGGAACCAGGTTGCGGCAAATACGCCGTGTTGTTGAACGGGTGACAGCATTTCACTCACTTATCAAGTATTTCTTGAACACCTACTCTGTCTAGGCATTTTCTAGACACTAGGGAGACAACAGTGAACAAGATAGCAAGGATTGTGGCTTTTTGGGGGCTAATCTAGCAGTTTAGAAGGCCCAGAATCACACACTCACTGGTTTTTCAGTTTGCTGGTGACCTGACGCTTAGAAAACAAGCCCTTGCTTCCCCTTCTTAGAGAATTCACCTGCACGGGCCCTTCCTGAGCGCAGAGCTCTGCAGCTATGTGCTTTTATTTCCCCTCCTAGTTTCCCAGTCATTAAAGGAAGAACATTCTCCAGCCTCATGTTCTGAAATATCACCAGGGTCACTTGAGTCAGGAGGAAATGGAAGGTCCCATCAAATATTTACTACCTCCCTCTGGAAGCCCTTGCTTCTGGGAGCTGGGGCTTTTTCTTTAAAGCTTAGCACATCCAGTTTGGGCTTCCTGCTGACACCTCTAAGGAATCGTTTGAATAACAACAGCAACAAACTGACAACAAACCCGGGCTGGGACTTTTCCTCTTCCTGTCTCTGGTCTCCCGTGACAGAGAGGAATTAGTCTTTCCTTCTCCCTGTCTTCTACATTGAGGTTTCTGACCTCAGAGACAGGGCGGAACCAACAGAAGGAAAATAAGGTTCTGAATACAGGAACTTTCAGGTAGGATCTGCTTAGGGCGAAACGTGGGGAAGTTTAGTTTCATTTCTCTCAAGTTCCAGCTCTTTCTTTTTCTCTTTTTTATTTTTTTCCTTTTTTAAACCTTATATGAAATCCTTAATTGAATTAAAACTCACTCATTTTCTTGTCTTTACTTTCAAAAGAGAGACATTGCTAGTACCTCAAGAACAGTCTGGAGCCGGGCATGGTAGTGCATGCCTTGGGTAGTGCATCACAAGTTTGGGGCCAGCCCTGACTACTCTGCAAGACCCTGTTTAGAAAGTTAAATGAATGCCGGGTGTGGTGGCACAGGCCTGTAATCTCAGCACT